TTCGACTAACTTGGCCGTGACGACGGCGGACGTGTGAGCCGGTGCGTTGTCATGGTGGAAGAGCACTTTTTTCTTTGCCAAATGGGGCCGTTTTTTCTGCAATTCGACGTCGAATCGGCCCAATAATTCGGCATAGTACAACCCTGTGACCGTTTTGCCCCTCTCCAGGTAGTCGATGTAGATCACACCTTGTGAATCCCAGAAAACGGTGACCATCACCTTTCCGGCCAATCGGGCAGTCTTCGCCTTCTTCGAAGCACTTTTGCCGGATAAAGTCCACTGTTTCGACTGTTCCTTGGTCTCTGGTGTATACCAGAGGATCCATGTTTCATCGACTGTCATGAAACGACGCAGAAACTCCTTCGGATTGCGCTTAAATAGCGTCAGACATTGCTCTGAAGTTGTCTCACGGTTGCGGTTGTTGTCCGGAGTGAACAAACGCGGCACCCATTGCGCCGACAGCTTTTTTATGCCCAAAAAATTTCATGCAGGACATGACCTACGCGGTCTTTTGAGATGCCTACGATCTTAGCTATCTCGCGCACCTTCAATCGTCGATCTGCCAATACGAGATCGTGAATTTTTGTCACGTTATCCTCCGTGGTACCGTTTTCGGAGCACCTGGACGTAGCTCTTCAAAAATCGACGTACGACCACGTTGAAACTCGTTAAACTAATTTTTGACGGTCGCCATCGAAGGAGAATAGTCACCGTACACAGCATCCAAGTGCTTTTTAATTTCGCTGTGCGATTTCCCTTCCAAAAACAAGAATCGAATCACCGACCAATACTGCTCTTTTTCCATTTTTCAAAAATCAACGGACACACTTGCTTTCACACGTTCTCAAAAATAAACTACAACTCCGATCCGGCCGAAATCTTGACAGTAACCATCGAGAAGGTTGTACTACGTGATAGAATATTTCTTTTGCGAGAGTGGCGCCATCGGGCGGTGAGGCTAAGTACTTATCGGACCACCCTCGTATAGGTACCCTTGAAGGAATATAGCAAGTACACATATGGCTCTAGGAATGTAACCAGATGACTTTGAGTCTGATAATCGCTCCTGTAACCTTGACGCGCTGTTTAAATCAGACTTCAAGCCGCATATATTCATCAAGTACCTTTATGATGTGATAATGGTGACTAGAACGTTCTAGAATCATCTGATGTAGCTCAGAAGGGCGTTGAAACGTATAGACCAAGCGGTGCTGAAGATCTATATAGAGAAAAGCGAATCGAGATATTCCTGAACTTAGTGACTCATAAGAAGCAGTGCTGGGAACTAATTTCGGGAAATCGTCGTGAACGTATTATATGAGATGCCTATTGCAAACCGTCGACAAGATATTTTGGTAGCAATAAAACATGATCGCTTAATGCTTAAGTATTTCTGGCAGGTATGTGAAATTACCTGCGTAATTTCGTGCAGTCATGTCTCGGATACCAAAAATACAAAGTCGAGCAAAGCGCGCCTAAAGCATTGATGAGCAATTTGGTGATTGAACTCCCCTAAGTAGTAAATACCACGGACTGTTAATCAGGTACATCGAATAAGCTGAGGAAAAACAAAAGTGGTACTACAATTGAGGCCACCGGATTGTGTCGACACTCATGTACCCTCTTTTATGCAGAGCAGAACAGAAGCATGAAGTTAAATCCCTCGTACATCGGTCCGTAGAAAGTGCTGGAGGTATTTTCTCTGGAGTTTTATATCCTGACGACGGAGAGCAACAAATAGATAGACCGCATGCACATTAAAGAACAGAAGACCTGGAATGGAGATATATCTCTGCACTCAACTCTGCCCGAAATCATGGCCAATATCTCTCTACACGTAAATTTTATGGTTTTTTTATGTTGTTCTTTTTATGTATGACTTACACAATGCTTTTGGCCAAACTAAGACATGGTGGAGGAGCAAATCTCACAACTGTGGGCACTAAATTGTATGGTCCAGTTGGAAAGTGGTAGAAGAGAAGTCCACATTCTTTTTAAGTTATACGTGTTACCAAGGCGTATGTTGCTAGAGGAAATCGGGCAGCCTTGTGGAGCCAGACGAGTAAAGCGATGGTGACGGACAGGCTTTGACCTTTAAACTAGAGAGCCCAGTGACCACCACAGTGAGCAGTTTTGCCATTGGGGTGGCACCTGTGACAGACTCTAATAGTAAAGAACGCCCTGAAAGGATCGGGAGAGGCGCAGCCAGCTCAACTGACGAGTCGCTGCCTGCCTTTCCTCGGGGTACTGAAGCTCCCTCCACCTGCGACATAGATGAGCAACGCCCCGTAGTGGGGGCTGCCACATTTGGTTTTCCTTTTGATCTTGTTTTTTTTGGTTCTTTTTTTGATGTTTGTTTTTGTTTTGGCTTGTGTAAATTATGAATAACTAAGCAATAGTTTTTTTAATTTTTTATTTAATGAATTCCTGAGAATCTTTTCTATAGAAATTAGTGATAAAATTCAAGTTTTTAACATATCGAAATATGTTTCAACAATTAAAAAAAGAATTATTTTGAATTCTTTTTTTTTAAAGAGAACCTCGTGGAAATTGCAATTTGCAATCGATTTTGATAATATTTGTTTTAATTTTATTTGGCAATAATTTTACTTTTTAACATTGAAACAAGCGCCTAAACAATATCGGTAAGGGTATTGCAACTATTATCAATCAAACAAAGACAATAAATCTACAGTGGCAGCATACTAAAATTACAAAAATAATTTCAGACCATAATTCTTTTCAATTATAAACATAAATTTGTCTGATTATTAAAAGACTAATTATTGCCTTTATGGTAATAAAAGAAAATATTATAGATTTTTAGATATAATGAACTATATTTACTATTTGCTTATCAATTAATTAAATTAATTTACTGACTTAATAACTGTAATTATAAAATGATTATAGTTATTATAAATCAAAAATTGCAATAAACCAAATTTATAAACAAAAGTTTTAAAATGAGGCGTTGAAAGTATTTATGGTATCGACATAAAAGTACGATATACTTTCTTGGCATATCATATTTATCATCTGCTTAACATTTAGTCATTTTAGTTAACTTAATTATTTTTATTTTCACAAAGTAGAATAAACACGATATTATATTCTTTTTCCGAGGGTTTTAAACCTGCTGAATATGATTTTATTAGTGTTTACTTGCTCTGCTTAAATGATATTACCACTAATTTTTCATATTTAAGATCTCACAAGGGCAAGCTGAAGTATCTTTTTGTTTGAATAAAGCCTGTAATATGATCAGTTATATTTCATCCTTTGCTGATTTTTAATACCATAGAATATCTGTGTCTTAACGAACCACAATGCAATACATTCAAGAAAGTTGGACATGATAATATACTTAATTAATATACTTAGATACTATTATTTACTTACAAGGTAACATTCTCAACTTTTTATCTCTGATTTTGCTGCAATTTGGATAAGTTAATTAAAACCAAAAATATTGATAGAAAACTACTCTGAGTGGTGATTTTCAAGGGTGGCTTTCACCCCTTAGAAAGTTTTTACCACGAATAAAAAAACGTATCTTTTATTTTTCAGGTAGCTACAACTTATCCTAATTGCAGCAAAATCAGAGGTAAAAAGTTGAGAACGTTCCCTTGTGTTACACTGATACTATTAAATATTATTTTGTCTTCAATTCACAATCTATTATTCATTTATTATATATATAATAATATTCTTTTTATTATCAATACAGAGAATATACTCCTACAAGTCTCTACATAAATAAGTAAATATAAATAAATGAAATCACAATCAGTAACAATAAATAAATTGAAGTTACTAAATTAATAAATTACTAAATTTAAAAACAAGTTACTAAATTATATACATAAACTGCTGATTTATTTTTCTTGATCAATTTATAATACTTTAACTTTACTAATTGAGAAACAGCTTTATAATAATACAATACGAAAAAACTAGAGGACTAAAAGATATTCAAGATTATATTAAGCTCATTTCAAACATTCTATAAGATAAAATACGTAATAGTATAATAGATTGTGAGAATAAAATTAAAAAGTAACTATTAAAGTAAATAAAACATTTATATAAAAAATTTTAAACAGAAAGTCATTCAATGTCTTTAAAAATTTTCACCACTCGCAAAACAATATTTAATCATTATTACAATAAAAGAAAAATTTGAATGACATGTCTTTCTATCATCAACATAGGACATACATTATTTTTACCTTGCAAAGTAGCTAAATACAAAAAAGACTAATGGTGAGATGGAACAATAAAAGATTGAAAAATAAAATAATAAATATATAATTATACAATATCTTCCAATAAATTTCATTAATATTATAATAGTCACAATAACCATTCTGCCCTTCTATTGGACTCAAAAATTGCAAATATCTCACTATTGAACATTTTAGCTTATATTTTGAATTTTAAGTCAAAGTTAATAATTTTGTAATATTCAAATAACATATATTGCTTCTGCTCTTGTACATTCAAAAATAATAAAAAACAAATATTCTTGTATGTTTCAGATATATATATAGTTACAGAACTCCAAAAATTTAATCAACAGTATTCAATAACCATCTGTAACACCAGACTTTATTCAATTTGATATAAAAACATGATTTCACTATTCAGTTGTCTCATATAGTTCTCTTTAGTATAAAAATTGAACCATTAGGTTTTAATTAAGACTTATAAGTTTTTAAACTTGTACATTGAATATTAAATATAATATTAGTATAAATGTAAAATAACCGTATTTCGCCACTTAAAATTACAAAATATAAATCGTAAATAATATTAAATTAATAAAAATATCTGTGAACAAACATTCATATAAACAGATTTAGATTGGTTTGAAGTTGGGTGTAAACCAATTGGTTTCTTTAGAATAAATGAATTTTATTTAATATTCAATTTAGTCTATAATAATTAAATTGCAAATCTAACGTGAAAAACATTTTATTTTTAATATTTCGCCATACCTGTAATAAGTAATTGTCCATTTTACAAGTATTTGAGAAAGGTAATTTATATCTAGTCAATTCAAAATATATTCGCAATCGCATAAACAGAACCAGGGAGTATAAGAGAAGGAGACCCAACGCCATATACGAGAAGTGGGACGTTTTCACCGGCAAAGATCGCCAGGCTCGCTCATCGGAATAGCTGACACTAGCTAGCGTCAGACCCCTCTAGCGAGCGCCATTCGTACTGCATAGTAGGTTGATTTTATCTACCGTTCCCTGTTAACTCACATGCAACAACGTATATGAAATTATGCTTCAAAACTGTGCTTAATTATGATGACGATAATATTTGAGTTGACACAAATGATAAGTTAGCTATCAAGAGACTCAAACCCCAAATACTATAATCATAAACTTAATCACAAGCCCCTCTCGGCAACTTAAATATAACTTTTGACATTTATACAGTGATATAAGCACGATAGCCGAGAGGCTAAGGTTTCTGCTTTGAATTGTTAGGATTGACGGTTTGAATCCTAGAGATGAATATTTTTTTTTCGTCATTATGGAGAATTTTGGAATCATATAAATACGTAAAACTAAATTAAAAATGCAAATAACATATAATTATTGATTCTGTGTTTAAATGATAAAGCACATACAAATGAAATTTTTTGAAGATGATATTTAAAAAAAATTAGCATAGATTTTCATCATTTTTTCCTGTACCTATTCAAAATATAAAATGATAGAAAACGTCCATGAACATTTGAAGAGTTTACTGGGGTATTTTTATCAACAATTTGATATATATTTATCCTTAATTGAAATGCGTGCTACAAAAACTGTTAGAATGAAGGGCTTGAAATAGGAGCGATAGAAGACGCCACCCATTAGTCAGCGCTGCCTCTCTCTCTCTCTCTCTCTCTTCATGAGTTTTCTGACTCTGGTAACGGTCTTGTTTTCGTACTGAGAGAGTAGCTTATGCTGAACAGCATGCATTAGCCTTTTCTATTAAGAGTTTTTATTATAAAGAGAATATAAAGAGAATTATTCTTAGAGTTGAAATACAGATTAAGAGTTCAGTTTGATAAAACATAAGTGTTTTCATTTAAATATCCTGCCAATAATCTCCACGAGCCCAACATTCCAAAAGGTTACGGGCCAGCCCGCGGATTTGGTGGATATTAGTTACGAGAAAAGCTGTTTTCCAAGTAAGTAAAGTGCTGAATACAAGAGAAAGTGTGTGTTAAAAGTGCAGCGCGAAAAGTGCTTAGAATAGAAAATTTTAATAGGGGAAGAGCAAAAATGGACAAATGAGAAAAAGTGTGAAACAAAGAGAAATATATAGTGTAAGTGAATAAAAAGATTAGGTAAATAGGTAAATAGCCATTAAAAAGTGAATTACAAGGGATAATAGGATAAATGGATCAAACGAGAAAACGGGATCCTTCGAGAAAGCCGTGAAATTTTGAGGAAACTCGTTGCGTGTTTTTTTTAAGACAAAGCGACGACCGACGTGCAGGTCGAAACTGGCGCGCAATAAATAGAGATATAGCTATACACGCTCATGCTGTATAAGCTACACAACGTAAACACACAATGGTCGGCAGATTCCGAGAAGAGAAGTTTTAGATTAAATAATATAGAACAAATAATAAAGAACATTCATTCGGCGTCGGGTGAATTTTCGAGCAAGCTATGGGTGTGTGTAGTACGTGCGCGTACGCCTCTCCCCGAAAGATTTTCGTTAGCGGTGCTTGAAAACCAGGCGTGGGGGAGTGTGCGTGTTGCATATATCGGGCATGTGAGATCTTCAACAGATTTTTAACGCGAAAATTTTAGATTTGCGGTGCGATTTAAAGATTTGTTAAAAATATTTTGTCAAAAGCCTAAATTAAATAGATTTTATTTTTTTTCTATGCTGTATAGATATTTTGAAAAAGAATAACATCAAACGAGAAGTACATACTAAATTACAAAGAAAGAGGAGAATATATAAGAACAGCATTAGGCAAAAGGTATAGTGTGTTTTTCATAATTTATATTGGATATCCAAAAATGAGAAAAATATAAATATTTGAATTTCAAAAATATTTATATAAAGAGAAAAGAGAAATAATTAAAAGAGTAATAAATTAAATTTTTCGCTAGCTACGAAAACAAAATGGATAAACGCACCTCCGACGAAGACATTTTAAAGACGGCATTACAGCCGGGTACAAAAACTCCCTCGGAGACGAGGAAGTTTAATCAATTGCGACAAGCGCAATTAAGCGATCCTGAAAACCAGGAAAAGAAAGATGCGCTTGAAGCCTACGAAGCAGAGCTACGCAATACCCTAATCGAAAGAGAAAGGCAGAAAAGAAGGGATAGAGGCTAAAAGCTAGAGTGCGATGCTATGGATGAAGCTATAGGAGGACTAGCTGGAGACGAGGAAATGGAGTCAAACGAAGTCCAAGATACGGAAGAGGAAACAGAGATAGAAAGATTGAAGAGAATGCTAATAGACGTGGGAAGGAAAGAACGAGAAAGAGAAAGAGAACTGGAGGAAAAGAGAAATTAAAACGAGCTCCTCCGTACGCAACTTCAAAAGAGAACCCAGGAAGTTGAAAGCTTGAAAACCAAAGTACCTCGAAATATTTTAAACTCTACCGCTCATAATGCAAATATTTTAAATAACGAGTCAAATATTTCGGTAATCGATCGGGAGAATTTAACATTGAATTATGACGTTTCAAATAAACTGTCGGAATCGTTAAATAGTTTAAAAAATACTTTAGAGAATAATAGAAACGCGAATGCAATGAATAATTTAAATAGCTATACGAGAAAATATATGTTAAGCGCAAAATCTGATATAATAATTTGGCTAGATAAATTAAAGTCAGAGTTAGAAGCAAAAGATCTATTGGACATTATTGACCAAAGAGTGAATGAACCGGAAAACCTTAATGAGAATTTAAAAGCAAAGAGAAAATTAGCAGTGAGAAATATTATAACTAGTCATATTGACGATCAATTTTATAGACAGGTTTTAACATTAAAAGAGCCAAGAGAAATGCTAGAAAAATTAAGAGAATGTGTTAGAGTAGCCAATAATATAACGCATACATCGGTGAGGACAAAGCTTTATTAAATAAAAATGCGGAAAAATGAGAATTTTGGAGATTTTTGTAAAAAGTTTGACAATTTAATTACTGAATATGAATGTTGTGATAAAGCTAAACCACTCACAGATGGAGAAAAAAGATCAGCTCTATTGCAAGCTCTTGATATAGCGATACCTGAATTAACACTACATAGTATCGCATATCTGCAATCTAACCAAAGAGAATTAACGTTAGCAGAAATAAATAGCTTTGCATTACAGCTGGAGGCGAAGAGAAATGCCACAGTACCACCTGCAGACGAGAAGGACAAGAAAGTCCACGTGGCACAGTACCGCACGAAATCAACGTGCAACAGGTGCCATAGGAACGGTCACTGGGAGCCTGATTGCGACTTATCAGAAGACAAGTGGTACTGCTACCGCTGTAGCAAAATTCACGAGAAGGGACTTGATTGCCGAACGAGAAAATGGTATGGTCAAAATAATAATGAGAACAGTAATATTAATAATGTAGATAGAGGGAGCGGTAGAGGGATAGGATATAAATTTAATAAAGGTAGCCATGGTAAGAGAAATTATAAACCTAATAAAGAATTTAATAAAAATAATAACACGAGAAATGGTAGAGGAAATTATAGAGGTAGATTATTTAAAAAGAATAGGGGAAATTTTAAGAACAACAAAAAACTAGCACAAGTAGCACTTGCAGCAGCACACGCAGCACTGGAAGAAAGAGAAAGGAAAACACAGATACAAGGTAATGTCAATAATAATTTAAAATATTTAAATAATATATCTTTCCTAGCGGATTCGGGAGCGACAGAGCACATAGTAAATAAGAGCTTAATTTTAAGTAATTTTGAAAAGAGTACTAAAGGAGTAATTAAGAGCGCGAATAAAGATCATTCAGCGGATATTGAAATTGACGGTATCGGAGATTTATATTTAAAAACGAGAAATAATAAAATAAAATTAACTAACGTATTAGCAGCAAAGAATATTTCAGAAAATTTAATATCACTAAGCGTTTTGCTGATTTAGATCTAGGAATATATCTTGATAACAAGAAACTAGAAATTTTTGATAAAATTACTAAAGAAATCTATTTATCAGGAGAATATAAAAAACCCAATTGGAGAATTAATTTTTCAGTTAAAAACATAGAGAAAAATGACCCAACATACACTGCACACACTTTTATTGCAGAAATAACTTCAGAAAATGATTTTACACCGCAGCCTCAAACTGTATCAAAAAATGTAAATGAAAAAGATACGGAGGGAGAAAAAGAGAAATTACAAGCTGATTTGACACCATTTGAGGTTGGGAGGGAGAAAGAGAGTAGTAAAATCATAGAGAATACAGACATTACCGATTTTGATCTAGATGCCCAAATTTTAAATAGAAAAATATGCAATTTATATTTACTAGAACACTCAGAGGAGTTAAGAAAAATAAAAATGATAGAGTTAAATCCCAACAATGAGAAATTCGATAAAATAGACATGGGCATGCTTTGGCACATTAGATTAGGTCACCCAAATTTACAATATCTGAATAACTTAAAGAGAAAAAACGAGATTTTAAGAAATATTAATTTTGATAAAAATATATTAGATTGTGAAATCTGTAAATTTGCAAAAATGGAAAGGAAATACCACATAAAGAGACGAGAACTTTAGCAGACAGACCATTACATACTATAAATACTGACATTATGGGTAAAATCACTCCAACATCCTGTCCTGGCAATTTTCAATATATAATAGTTTTTATTGATGAATTTTCGAGATTTGCAAAGTTATATTCAATCAAAAATAAAAGCGAAGCAGCAAAAAGTCTAGAGAATTTTATAACTACGACGAGAAATTTATTAGGTAAAAATGAGAAAATTTGCTATTTGAAGTTAGATAATGCGAGAGAATTTACAGGAGGCGAATTTTTAGAAGTAATGGAGAAAGAGAAAATAGTAGGTAATTATGTCCCACCCTATACCCCAGAACTCAATGGTAC